AGATGCCCAAGTTGGGGCTCGTTCCCCAGTAGGGAGTGTGCAGGAGGCAGTCGATGGATGACTCTCATTATGGATGTTTCTCTTCCTCTCTCTTTCCCTCTCTGAAATATTTTTTGTAACTTATTGAGACATTTTTTTTCTCTATGAACTATATAAACACCCAGTCCTTCTTAAATCCTGTTTTAAAAATAATACATATATGTATTATTGATTTTTTACAGAGAGGAAGGGAGAGGGACAGAGTTAGAAACATCAATGAGAGAGAAACATCGATCAGCTGCCTCCTGCACGCCCCCTACTGGGGATCAAACCCGCAACCCGGGCATGTGCCCTTGACTGGAATCGAACCCAGGATCCTTTAGTCCACAGGCCGACACTCTATCCACTGAGCCAAATGGGCCAGGGCCTATTTCTCTCTTTAAGTGATGGGAGAGAGAGAGATCAGTTTGTTGTTCCACTTCTTCATTGGTTGATTCTTGCATCAACCTGGGATCAAACCCACAACCTTGGTGTGTCAGGACGATGCTCTAACCATCTGAGCTCCCAGCCAGGGCTCGTCTGTCTGTTAGAAGGACACTTGTCTGTGGAGTTGGGACCCATCGGGTGACCCAGGATGATGTCATCTCGAGTCCTTCATTTCACTCCATCAGCAAAGACCCTTTTTCCAAGGACACATTTCCAAGTTCCAGAGTTAGGATGTGGACATATCTTTTTTTACTCGCTTTGTTTAGATAAAGCCTTCACTCTGAGAACTGATTCTGAGCCTCACCGCTCAAGAAACGCCTTCCTGGGGTGCTGCACCCCAGTAACACCCCAGGGCGAAGGGGGACATCACCTTGACAGCTTGGCTCTCGGGACCCTGGCCTTGAACCAGGCCTGGCTTCACTAAGTGCAGAGGTGGAAGCAGGAGGGACTCGGGTCAGACATGCTGCAGGACGTCCTGGCAGTAAGTCCGTCTGTGGCAGGCGGCTCCGGGAGAAGGAGACCGCTCCGCAGCGCTTCGCCTGCTCCTGGGACAAACACTCCCCTGGGAGCTCAGACGAGACACCTGCTCCCCTGACGTTCCTGCCTCATCTCAGTGAAGGGCTTCTCACAGGTGAGGACAGTGAGGCAGAGAGAGGACGGAGCAGCCCAAACTCACACAAGTGGGGCCAGAATTAGAATGTCAGCCTGCTGAGTCACCTCGAGACTATGCTGTCCACCTCCCAATAGGGAAGAATGAAATGTGTAAAGGGATGTCATTGGGCTCTCTCCTTCTCCCTCTCCCTCCCTTTCCCTCCCTCCCTCTCCTTCCCCCCCCTCCTCTCTCTCTCTCTCTCTCTCTCTCTCACACACACACACACACACACATACGCTCTCAGTGCCTACCAAAATCCTTGACCCTCTCCTTGATTTCCCCTGGTGACAGGGAGCTCACTGCCTACCGAGGGCCCATAATGTCATTCCCAGTCCCTTCCCGCAGGGCTGCTCTGGAAGTAGTGGGGTGTCAGAGCTTTGAGGGGAGATGTCTCCCAGGCAGGGGAAGGGCGGGAAGCTGAGTGCAGCAGAGACGAGGAAGCCAGGCCAGAGCAGGAGGGGCTGGATCTGTGACTGTGGCAGTCTCTGCTACCACACGCTCAGGATCCCCGACAGCTCCCTCCCTCCACTACCCCTTCCAACCCTGAGTGCTCACTGCTCACTGCTCTGCCTGCCCACACTTTTGGCAAGAAGTTTTTGCGTGTTGAATGTTTTTACTGACTTGAGAGAGAGAGAAATGTTGATGGGTTTCCTCCTGCACATCCCCTACTTGGAATTGAGCCCGAAACCTGGGCATGTGCCCTGACCCAGAATCGCACCAGCGACCTCTGGGTGCCTGGATGATGCTCAACCAACTGAGCCACACCAGCCAGGGCTGAGCTCTTAGGACAGGCCCCTGGATGCCCCAATCTCTTCCCACCCGCACCATCAGAGCTGCGGGGGGCGCAGACATCACAGGGCAGCCCCCACGTTCCAGATGAGAACCTGATGCCCCAAATGATGTGTGTGTGAGTTTGCCAGGGACTCCGCAGGGGCTGGGTAAGAGGGTTTGCATCGGGCCCTTGGATGTATATGTGTTTTATCTAGCACCATGGTCAGCAAACTGCGGCTCTCGAGCCACATGCGGCTCTTTGGCCCCTTGAGTGTGGCTCTTCCACAAAATACCCCGGCCTGGGCCAGTCTATTTTGAAGAAGTAGTGTTAGAAGAAATTTAAGGTGTTTTTTTTTTTAAATTATTATTATTGATTTTTTTTTTTACAGAGAGGAAGAGAGAGAGTTAGAAACATCGATGAGAGAGAAACATCAAACAGCTGCCTCCCGCACACCCCCTACTAGGGATGTGTACATGCCCTTGACCGGAATCAAACCCGGGACCCTTGAGTCCGCAGGCCAACGCTCCATCCACTGAGCCAAACCGGTTTCAGAGAAGAAATTTAAGTTTAAAAAATTTGGCTCTCAAAAGAAATGTCAATTGTCGTACCGTTGATATTTGGCTCTGTTGACTAATGAGTTCCCCGACCACTGACTTAGCATGGCTCTATTTTCTGCTTTTAGTGGCTTAACAGTGGATCTCAAACTTTTTTCTTTTTAAATCTCAGGACTGTTTTTCATTCTTAGGGAAGGCCAAAGAGCTCTTTGTGTTTTGTAACGTCAGACATTAACACAGGATTTTAAAGGTGACAGGCCCTTTAAATAACAGTAATGAACATCGTGGCAGGTTAACATGAATTCAGTCTGTGTCAGTATCACCTGCCTCACTGCTTCTGGAGCATTCCCCGGACACGCCCGGGAATGAAGGGCCACGGGCAGAGAACGTCCCAGCGTGACTACGTGACCGAGCAGACCCCGGGAGGGCCTGGGAGCCGGTGCCCCGGGCACACTCCCTCCGGCAACCGCTGGGCCAGCCTGTCCCGGCCCACGATGGCGGGAGGCGGGCGCTGCAATGAAGTTAACCGGAAGCAGTGCCAGGAGAAGGGACAGCCAATCAGAGCTGGAACCCCTAACCTGACCCTCACACGTCACTCTGTAGGGGGAACAGGAAAAATCACTGGCTGCCAGGCCCTCCCCATCAGGCTAGACAGTCTCTCCGTGCCTCAGTTTCCCTCTCTGGAAGGCGGCTCAATAACAGCCCAGCTCGGCCGTGGAGAAAGGATTAGCGGATTAGCAGGATAGGAGCGCTCGCTCCCAAGTCAACTCGGGGTTACCATTTAAGGGGGATCCCATCAGTGAGTGCCCCGTTCTCCATCGCCCAGGGGGGTAAGTCCCTTGCTCGGGCGAGCCCCTGCCCGCCTGCCTCTCCTAAGACTCCCGCCCCGTTTTTATCGGTTGCTCTGGGTCCTTCTAGGAGCCCCGAGCCAGGCTGCTGAAGGGGCTGGGGAGGGAAGGTGTGGTCTCCTACCCGGGTGGAGAAGGTCTGCCTCGGACCCGAGTTCCCACTTAGGATCTAACTAGAGGTCCGGTGCATGAATTCGTGCACAGCTGGGGTCTGGTGGCCTGCCCAATTGGGGCCCGTTAGGCCAGGCTGTGGGGGGACGGGCCGCAGGGTGGGGCCAGACAGCCAACTGCCTGCAGCCCCTCCCTTCTCCCTCCCTCCCCCCACCTCTGCTGGCCCTTTCCCCTGGCCCACCTCCTGGTGGAACTCCCCGTCCAGGGGACAATTGGCACATTAGCCTTTTATTGTATAGGATGGGGAGCTTGGCTGTTGGGGTTCCCATCCTGTGGTGGGCGTGGGTGGTAGAGGTAGGACCCCAGGATCCTGACCTCTGAGATCCCTCGGGTGCCTGTGTCCCGGTCCCCGTCCCGGTCCCTGAGCGGTCCGGTGCCACACCTGGCCTTAGGAGAGGAGGGTGCGCTTGGGTGCGGGGGTGCTGACACCCCGAAGCTCTCTCCTGGAAATGAGGGTCTCAAAAGCCTGGACGTGCGTCCTGGAGGGGCCATGGCGTCTGGGTCTCCACTCCTGCGGGGGCTCTGTGCAGGGTGCCCGCCTTGTCAGAAAAGGTTGGGGGGGGGGTGCTGGGTTCGCCTGGGGGGCTCAGGCGCTAGCTCCTCGCATGGAGTCTATAGATAGTGCCTGGACTCCGGGTTCTCCTCCAGGTGGGCCGGGCCGAACCCCCATTGCTGGAAACCCCCGCCCTGAAAAGGCGGGGGGGGGGGGGGCTGGCTGGACCGGGTGGGTGGGGGTGGGGGCCTAGGTGGGCGGGGCTAGGTCTGGCCCCGCCCCTCCGGCCCGCCCTCCGCGCTGTCCCCGCGGCTCCAAGTCTGCGGGGCCTCGGAGCGCCCGGAGCCACAGCCCGCGCCCCGCCGCGCCCGGGTCTATGGGGCCGCCGCGCCGCGCCGCCCGGCCGGCCCCTCGCCGCGCCCGGCGCCCGCCCCGCAGCCAGGTGAGGGCGCTGGGGGCCTGCGGGGAGAGGGGCCGGGGGACACCGGGGTCCTGGAGGGACAGGAGCCGAAACCCCAGTGCCCTGGGGGGTCCAGACGCCCGAACCCGAGGCTGAGACAGGGGCGCGGGGATCTGGACACCTGGCTGCGGGTGCGGAGCGCGGGCGGCGGTGCTGGGCGGGTGGGGGCCTCCCGGACGCTCGTCCTGGAGGAACTGATACCGAACCGAACCCGCGCCTGGCTCTGGGGACCTGGACCCCGGACACCCGGCCCGGGCGCTGGGTGCGCCCTGGGTGCGTCCCCGGCGGAGGCGCGGGCCCTGCGTCGGGCGCGGGGTCCGCACGCCCGGGTCTCGGGGAGGAAGTTGTGGCGGCGGAGATCGGGGTCGGCCACACGGCGCCCCCAGGGGCGGGGGAGGTCCCGGGCAGACACGGGGTGGGGTCCCGGCCCTTCGCCCCTCCCTGCCTGGTCCGCCGGGGGACGGCTCTCCGCACTTCGGGGACCCGCACTCCCGGGATGGGATGGGCTTGGGGGGCGGGGCCGGGGCCGGAGGGCGCCGGGGCTGGTGCCCGCGCCGGGCTGGCAGCGCCGCCCCCGCCCCGCCGGGCTGGGGCTTGGGCATGCCTGGCACGCCGGCCGGATCCGTATGCGCGCCGCGTGCCCATTGGTATGCGGGAGCCGGCCCGGCGCGGCGGAGGCGGCGGCGCGGGAGGCGGCGGCGGGGCACGTCCGCGCCCCGAGCTTCCCGGGCCCCGCGGGGCGCGAGCCGCGGGCGCCGAGCGGGGCCTCCCGGGGAGACTGAGGCTCCTCCGGCTCCGGCTCCGCTGGCGCCTGCGCCCGCGCGGGCCTCAGTTTCCCCGGCAGCTCTCTCCCGCCTCCGGTTCTTCCGCCGCAGGAGACGCGGATCCAGAGCCCCGCCGGCGGCCCCGACCCCGCCTGAGCGGCCCCCGCGGAGATGGCGGCCCCCGGCCCCGGCGGCGGAGAGGGCGGGGGCGGGGCAGGGCGCGGGGGCGGCGCCCCGTGGGACCTGCTGCCCGGGCTCCCGGTCCAGGCCCCGCCCGGACCCTGGTGAGCGAAGCCCCGCCCCCGGCCTGGCCCGGCCCCGCCCCTCGACCCCGCCCCGCCCCCAGCGGCGTCCCGGTGGAGTTCTCACTCCGGTCCGCCCCATCCCGTGGGCTTGGATTTCCCACCCGCCTTCCCGGGGACGCTCCCAGCCCCTTCCCCGGACCCATACCCGCCCCCCTCCCCTCCCCTCCTCCTCTCCTTCCCCCAACCCTCCCCCCCCCCCGCCCCGTCTGCCCCGCCGCCGGCCGGCCGGTCTAACGGTCCAACTTCACTCTCGGGTCCCGCCGCCGCCTCCAGAGTTGAATCCGCTTCCAACGCCCCCTCCCGTCCCCTCAGGCCCCGCGCCCCGCGCCCCGGCCCCGCTGAGGCTCCCGCCCCGCACAGCCTGCAGGCGCAGCGCAAGGAGAAGTCCCGCAACGCCGCGCGCTCGCGGCGCGGGAAGGAGAACCTGGAGTTCTTCGAGCTGGCCCGGCTGCTGCCGCTGCCCGGCGCCATCGCCAGCCGGCTGGACAAGGCGGCCGTGGTGCGGCTCTGCGTGGCCTACCTCCGCCTGCGCCGCTTCGCCGCGCTCGGGGCGCCGCCCTGGGGGCTGCGGGCCGCGCCCCCCGCCGGCCTCGGTGAGTGCGCGGGGGGGGGGGGGGGGGCGAGGAGGACCCGGGTGCAGAGTCCGGAGTCAGGCCTCCCTTGGTGTCCCTGTCAGCTGTCCTTACCTCTCCGCGCCTCAGTGTACCCACCTGTGAAATGGGCACACGGGGGGGGGAGAGTTCAGGAACGCTGGCCTCATCCGGGGCTTGGTGGCCCCAGGGGGTCACACTAGGAAATGCTGTGGCTTTTATCGGCGGAGATAAAAAGCCCCAGCCTGGGCCTCCCCCCAGACCTGCGGGGACCCAGGGGGGGCACAGGGCCCGGAGTCAGAACCCCCCGTTTGAAAGGGGCCGGGAGGCCGCTCACGGGGCAGATCCCCCCCCACCTCTCTGAACCCGGATGACTCTTCCCCTGAGGGCTAAGGAGGGGTCCGCCAGGGTCACCGCGCACGGAGTCATCAGTCACCAGGTGGCCTCCGTTACCACCCGGGGGACCCTGCGGGGCTGCTGGGAGCCTGTGGTTTAATAAAGAAGCACCTACTGTGTGCTGCTGCCGCCCTGCGCTGGGACCCAGCGGGAAACAGACTAGATGGTCCCCGCGCTGACGCCCTGGTGGTTGAGACTCGGTAACAGAGAAGCAGAATCATTAATGCATAAGCTGAGACTGTGAAACGCAGGTATGTCAATGCCTGCTTTTATTAGCATTCAGACTTTATTGACGGATTCCTCCAAGTGTTAGGCTATGACTTCTTTGTAGCCGTGACTGTTCTACTCCAATGACTGGGAGACCGTGAATCCTATGAATCTCAGGTCACAGGGCAGGGCCCCGGCTACTCTCCCTCCCCAAAGGAGGAGGTGCCCCTAGGGTGGGGCTGGAGGGGGGTCCCAGGGAGGAGGGGGGAGAGAAAACAGCATTGATTAAGGTCACGATAAGTCGCCATTTAAATTTAAATTCCCAGGCGGTAATTAGGAGAACGGGCTCAGAGCCTCTGATGACTGTCATTGCCGAACATGTGCGCTCCGGGGACATAAACACCCCCTATTGTCCCCACGCCAGGAGAGGAGTGGGGAGGGCCCCCCTGAAGCCCAGCATTCCCCACCCGCACCCCCATTACCTGAGTTCACAGCACGGAGGAGGCAGAGACTCCCTCAGCCCCCGCCTGTCCCCCCGAGCTGGTGGGGGAGGCACTGCAGGACTCCCCCCAACATTAGGAAATTGGGGGCACCTCTGGCCCTACAGGTCTCCCCACAAGAGGCCAGGCGCCTGCTTCCGCAGCTCCGATGGGTAAACTGAGGATGGCGTGTCAGCAGGAGTCAGAGAACGAAGCATTGAGCCCCCATTCTCCAAAGGAGGGGGACCCCATGATCTCCTCAACTATAGAAACTGCCCTGGCCGGTGTGGCCCAGTGGATAGAGCGTCCGCCTGCGGACTGAAAGGTCCCGGGTTCAATTCCAGTTAAGGGCACATGTCTGGGTTGCAGGCTCAGTCCCCAGTGAGGGGTGTGCAGGAGGCAGCCAATCAATGATTCCTTCTCATCATTGATGTTTCTGTCTCTCCCTCTCCCTTTCTCTCTGACATCAATAAAAATAAAAATAACTAAAAAATAAAACGATAGACATAGTGGCAGTAACAATGCAGCGCGGGGCAGTAATAATATAACTCACCCAGTGCTCTCCGAGGCCTGAGGAGGAGGCATGCTGCCAGTCCCATCTCCCAGAAGGAGGAAGAGGCCCAGCCGCCCCGCGGTGTACCTTCTCGGCCGCCGTCCTGGCATGGCGGCAGGTCTCCAGGGCAGCTCTCCGCCTCTCTCTGGGCCTCAGTCTCCCGCCTGTGAAATGAGATGAAACAACAGAGGTCAAAGTCTAGTTCGGTGCCTCTGCGTCTGGGGAGAAGACAGCCTGGTTTCATATCAGCATTGCCCCTTCATCAACAAGCACCTCTGACCCCCTCCCCCGTGCTAGGACGGTCCTGGGTGCGAGAGACACAGCGGGCATGGGACACAGTCCCCGCCCTCAAGGGTCAGCCTGTGATCCCTGAGAGGTGGGTCCCCTGACTTCACCCCCCACTCTCAGCCCCAACACACACACACTGGCCGTTCCTCAGAGAAGCTCTCGCCCCAGGGCCTTGGCACTGGCTGTGCCCGCCTTCAGGATCTGCCTTCCCTCTGACGTCCGCTCCTCGGCCAGGCCTTTCCTGCCCATCCTACCAAACAGCGGCCGGCATTCCCTGCCTCCTGTCCTGCCTTATTTCTTTGCATAGAGCTGTCATCTGACACCACACATCTCTCTTGTTTATTTTTTTATTTTTTTAAAATATATTTTCTTGATTTTTTACAGAGAGGAAGGGAGAGAGATAGAGAGCTAGAAACGTCGATGAGAGAGAAACATCGACCAGCTGCCTCTTGCACACCCCCCAATGGGGATGTGCCCGCAACCAAGGTACATGCCCTTGACCGGAATCAAACCTGGGAGCCTTCAGTCTGCAGGCCGATGCTCTGCCCACTGAGCCACACCGGCTAGGGCAAAGACTGGATCTTAGTTCACAGGTCAGGCACGATCTCGCTGAGGAAGTGACCTTTGAGGGAAGGAGGGGCGGGAGGAGCTCTGAGGAGAGCTGGGAGCGTGTCCAGGCAGAAGCGCGCAGGCAGGCTGGACTCGCCATGCTGGTTGGAGGGAGTCTGGGGAGGAGGGAGAGGCTGGGGGTGGTCAGCAGGGGCCTGGGCCTGTGGTGAGGACTTTGTTACCCCATGTGAGATGGGAGCCAGGTGATGGTGAGTGTGAGTGGGAGCAGGGAGCGCCCTCACGGGGGAGTGCAGTGGTCTGGGTGGGAGGTGGGGGCTCTGGGCTGACGGGGGGCTGGATTTGGTGAGGCCGGGAGGGTACAGCCCACAGGACTTACAGAAGATGGATGTGGGTGTGAGAGGCAGAGAGGGGTTCAGGTGCAGGGCAGGGGGTCCCCCCGGTTATCCGTAGTAATACTGGTAAGCATAGCGGCAAACTCAGGGATGAGGCACCTGCTGTGTGCCTGGCTCTCTGCTCCTTACAGGCACAAACTCATTCTGCTCCCTCACTGGACCCATTTTACAGATGAGGCCGAGGAAAAGTAGAGGCAGAAGTGCCCCCCTCCAGCCCTCAGGCTCACACGCTCTGATTGTGGCGGGTGGTTCCTTCTCCAGGCTTGGCCTTCATAGGGAATGAAGTTCCAGCCCTGCATCCCTCCCTCCACCCCGCCCCCCACAGCAGCCCCTCCGGACAATTGGAATGGGGAGTGGAGGGGGACTCCTGAGCCTTCCGTCCCCAGTCTGTGTAAGCCGGGATGGTGGCACAGCTTTTCTTCTGCAGCAGAATCAGGCCCCAGTAAAAAACAGCACGTTTGTTGAGTGAGTGAGTGATGGTTGAGGTTTGGACGTGAGAGGGCACGTCTAGGAGTAAAGAGGGGGCACATCTGGGCGTAACTCCTTTGGGGGAGAGAGAAATGGAGGTATTGGGTAGAGAGGAGGACACACAGGTGCAGGAGGAGTTGGGGAATTGGAGGGTCTGAGGAGGGAGAGCCTGGGGGGTAAGGAAGCCCACCGGTCAGGGGTCAGTGATGGGACAGCCCCCAGCGCTCCCACCCCAGGGGCCAGGCCCGGTGTTTTGGGGGAGCAGGCAGTGGCTGAGGCCCCCCCCTCCCCCGCACGCCGCCCCCGCCCCGGCGAGCCCGTGAGCGCCGTTAATTGCAGCCGTTCAGCCTGACCTGGGCTGATCCTCCGGGAGGGAAAATGAAGGAATTAGCAAAAATGACGGGGGAAAATTGCCACAATTAGCGAGCGGCATTGTTCCCGCCTGTCACCCGGCTGGTTCGCGCTGCATCCCGGGGGAGGGGTCCCCGTTAGCCACCCCGCCCCCGCTCCCCGTTATTGTTCCCGGAGCTCCAGGCGCGGGTGGGGGCGGATGGAGCGGCGCGGGGCCCGGGCGCGCCCGGGAGGAGGGGCGGGGCCTGGGCCTCGGGGGCGGGGCCTGGGCGGGGCAGCGCCTGGATGAGGCCTAGGCCCCAGGGGCGGGGCCTCTGTCTCAGGGGGCGGGGCTGCTCCCTGATTGGCGGGGGGGCGGGTCTTCGCCGCCCGGTGGTGTCGGGATGCTCTGGCGATAACAATAGTAATCACACTATTAATACGCATTGTGGCTCCGCATTTCCCGGCACCTGCGGAGGGTCAGGCCGTGCGAGGTCCTTTCTAGAAGCTCCTTAAGCTGGCTGCATGCTCAGCTCGCCTGGGAGGGCTGCGCTCTTGGCAAACCCGCTTGGCAGAGGGGGAAACTGAGGCACAAGGAGGGGAAGCGGCCGGCCCCCCAGGGCACACTGGACCCCAGACCTGGATCCAACCCTGCGAGAGCCAGGCGCCTGAGGACCCTTGAGGTCACCGAATCCTCCAGTCTGGACCTGGGGGCCTTCTCTACAGGGTCCACGACCTCTGCCTGTCTGCCCACCCCAGACGGTGCTGGGCCCTCAGCTCCTGGGGGGGGGGGTGCGGGGCTGGACCTCCACCTCTCTCCTGTCTCATTCGCCAGGGCTTTCTGCCCGTTCTCTTTCTCTCTGTGCACCCCGTTTACTCAGCTTCTCCATCTCATATATATTATTGATTTTGGAGAGGAAGGAAGAGGGGGAGAGAGGTAGAAACATCAGTGATGAGAGAGAAGTCCCCCACTGGGGATCAAGCCCACAACCTGGGCAAATGCCCTTGACTGGAATCGAACCTGGGACCTTTCAATTCACAGCCCTACGGCCTATCCACTGAGCCAAACTGGTTAGGGAAAAAAAAAAAAAAAATTTATTGAGGTAAAATTCATAACATGAAATTCACCATCTTAAAGTGTACAATTTAGTGTGGCATCGGCACCTTCACAGTATCTGGCACCATCACTTCTGTCTAGTTCCAAAACCTGGGAACCACCACTCTGCTTTCTGTCTATTCTGGACATTTCATATCGATGCAATCATCCTATATAATAAAGAGCTACTATGCTAATTAGATGGGACAGTGGTCAACCTTAGG